TTCCTGTTCCAAAATTGGAGATTTTCAGCCCTCGGAGCATCTCCCATGGGCACATGGAAATGGATTTATTGTCCTGAATTCACCACCCCAGGATTTCAAACCCAAGGCTGGTTTGCAGGGAAAGGGATTTGTCTTTCATTTCATCAACTAACACAAGCTGAGGGGGAAAAAAAAAACCCAGAATATCTCAGAAACACAAGTTCTTCCAATTTTAACAGAATGCTGGAAGAAAAAGTTAATGTATCTTTCATGAGGACAATCTAGATAATAAGCAACACAATTCCACGGCAAAAGGCTGGGATTTTTTTTTTTTTTTTTTTTTTTTTTTTTTTTTTTTTTTTTCCCTTAAATAAGCAGGAATTTCTGGTTGTGGATAGAGGACCAAGGTAAAACTTGAGTCACCAAACATCCCCCAGACAGGAACATGCTGTAACCTCAGGTGTTAAGTGATCCATGAGATTTTACTTTCAGATTTGGGCAGAAACAACAACTTCAGGAGGAAAAAAAAAAACCCAAACCAACTAAACCACGACAACCCCTGTGTGTGTCAAACCTAAACTGAAATTGTTATTCAGCAATTTGCAACACTTACTGTCATATTAAAGTAATTTCATTTTATTTTTGCTCGCTGGCTCTGTTCCTGTAACAAAACAGCAAATCTTGGGATTTAAGGGGATATTTGGGAGAGAACTGAATTATCCTGAAAGGTTTGGGGGTACAGGCTGTGACCCTGGGAAAGGTGGAAATTTTGCAGGCTAGATGTGACAGAACTGTGGGATTTAGGCTTTTCCCCCTCATTTCCAACCCCTCATTATCCAACAAATAATATAAATACTATTTATAAATATTATTTATAAACATGCAGGAACTTCCACTTTCTCCTCTTTTATTTAGGAAAATTTCTAAATGAAAGAAACTTTTGTTCAACCAGCCAATTTCTGACCCCTCTGGATGATCTCCAGGTGGTTTTGTTCCTTTGCTGGAGGTAAAAACCAACACATAAACAGAGAAAATTGAATTATTCATCCTCTGGGGGTCCCTTCTAGCCCAGGATGCTCCATGATTTTATATCTCAGGAGTTCTTTAAGCTACAGGTGAAGGCAGCAGTGGATCAAAGTGGCAGAAAAGGTTAAAATTATTATTAATGAAGGTACCAAAAGCAGTGTGACCTGCAGGACAGGGCAGGATTGTTTGAGGATGATTTCCAGCCTCTCTCCAGAACCCTAAAGCTCCAGATGAGGACAAACCCCAGGAGATGATGGTTGGTACTCACTTTTTCAAAGGCTCTATGACTGTCTTTTGGATCTGATTCACCTGTGGGAAGCAAAAAAGGGAGGATTGCACGTCAGGATTGTTGGAAAATCCCATTTGGGTTTGTAGGGATCCCACCATAGGCTGGGGAGGGACCCTGAGCACAACCACCAAGTCCTTTAACCAAAAGAGAGGGAATTTCTCCCATGGGAGCTGAAATCCCAGCCTGGAGAGGGAGATCAGAGAAATTCCTGTGGGCAAAGTCTTGGGGATGATGATAAAAAGGGAAAGAGGTGAGAAATGAGGAATCTGGACATGGCAGGGAGTGGCAGCACACAGGGAATGGCTTCCCACTGCCAGAGGGCAGGGATGGATGGGATTTGGGGAGGAAATCCATCCTTGAGAGGGTGAGGAGAGGCTGGGATGGATTTCCCAGAGGAGCTGAGGTTGCTCCATTCATAGATGGGATTTTGGGAAGAAATCCTTCC